AGGACGAAGAATGAGGACCCTATTAATATGAAAGCCCATAGATTACCACCTGCACAAACTAAGGAAATAAAGCAACAAGTAGAGAAAATGTTGCGAGATAATATTATCCAGGAGTCTCAGTGCGTGGAGTGCACCGGTGTACTTAGTATAAAAAAAATTAGATGCATCGGGCGTACAAAAATGGAAAATGGTAGTTGATTATACGCGACTAAATGACATAACTACAGATGACAAATACCTACTCCCTAATATTAACGTTCTATTTGACATGCTAGGAAAGAGCTTATATTTTACTACCTTACATTTAGCTTCCGGTTACCACCAAATAGAAGTAGAAAAGGATGACAAACCAAAAACAGCCTTCAGCACACCATTTGGTCACTTTGAATTCAATAGAATGCCCTTCGGTTTAAAGACAGCTCCTGCTGCTTTTCAGAGAGCAATGGATAACGTGCTACGAGGGTTACAAGACTTACAAGTATATTTAGAAGACATTATAATCTTCCTACCGGAACATGTAGAGAAACTCAAATCCGTATTCGAAAGATTCAGAAAAACTAACCTTAAAGTCCAACTTAGATAGATTAGATAAGTCTCATTTTCTAAGGAAAGAAGTACTATATCTAGGGCACACTATAACAAGTGAAGGATTGAAACCCAATAATAACAAAATTGAAGTAAAACAGTTAGATTTCAGAAACGTGGACTTCAGTGATATAAAAGAACTAATAAACAGTGCTAAATTCAGTGATAATGAAATAAATACAAAATTCTTAGTAACAAGTGAAATCAGTGTATGGACCATAAGTTTATATCATAGTAAGTAAGTTAATATTATAGTTATCTATATAGTATTTACCATTTTTAAATTCAAATTATGTTATCGAAATTCTCCGAAGTCGCTTAAGCCACCTTCGGATAATTTCTCTCTTGAGGGGGGAGGAATTAAGGCTGAGCACCCCTGCCAAATCTCATTCATTTGCACATCATCAACAATCCCATCTGGGTCAAACGTATGCAGTAAATAAGCTTAGTAAATAGTTTTGTTGCATATAATTTAAGTATAAATAAACAATTTTAATCAGTTAATATCGAATATTGTAGTAATAAAGGAGAATTTTTCTATGGAGAATGGGCCCAAAATTTTAAAGATTATCCATGAAATGCATGTCTATTTATTCCGTATAATCCATAGATTACAATAATATTATTAGTTTTACTGCATCTAAACGGAGTCCTGAGAAATTAACAAATAAAATGTGAATCTAACAATAACCTAAAAACAAACTGAAAGTGATTTTCTAGTAGTATTCATCGGTATTATAAGTTAAAATAATGCACACTTGAATAATACATATAAAACTAAGCTTTAGGTATATTCAGCATTTATAAATATTTTAAAATCGATGTAAAACCTTTCACTAGTTCCGGCAAAACATAGTGCCTGTCTATGCACAAATGTCGTATGGATTCTATTTTTGACATGTATTGATTGATTGTGAGTGTAATTCTAACAAATAAATACCAAGATGGCTAAGGTATAATGTATATTTATATTTATGATATTACCAACACACAGTAAGAAATTTTTTAAACTGGTTGTATTACAAAAACAAAATATAATGTCGGTAACTCTATTTATTATTGTAAATCATAATTTATTTAAGTATTCTATTAACAGTAGTAGGTACAGAAACAGAAACCTTTTAGTCAATTTAGATTATAAATAATACTTATTGAAAGTCACTTTTTTAATTTATCACTGGTTCGGAAAAAACCTCTGACTTGAACAGAACCAGCAAAATACCCAGTGCGTCTAAAAAAAGCCAGCTTACAATCATGTATGTCATAATTAACAACACAGAACAAATTAGAAATAGCTTGGTAGCGATCACCTTACCCACGGGTTATTGTCAGTCATAAATTCCTTTATACTACAATAACTCCTTTTATACAAACTTAGTTTAATAATTTATTTGAACTTTAATGATTGACTGATATATATAGATAGGAGCGGATTCAAGACTTTGTTTTAATATGTTTTGGTTGAGTAGTAAGTAGTATACATCATAATAAAATGACTGGGAATTAACATGCTTATCTATGTTATTACACAATGATAAATAGTGAGGAAGTAAGATGTTTTAAACTGTTTGTGTGAGGATTACAAAAACACAGGCTTAATTTAAATGTATTTATTACTAGCGATGCGGCTCAGCTGCAGCACTGGTGATTTATGGATCTCGACAACAGTGCCATCTACCGGGTCCAAATGTAAATATAAACCATCTAGGGATCCATCCAAACACACACAAACATTTTCATTGAAATTGGTTGGATGGTTTCTTATGTTTTATTTATAACGGACATAGGAAGAAACATTTTAGTGTTAGATATATTTCTGAATGTTTTTTGAAAATAATTTGATCGTAGTACATGTTACTTATGATATTGTAAGCAATTAGAAGGCATTTTCAATTATAAGAGATATGATATAATCACACACACACACACACACACACACACACACACACACACACACAGATACACTTTTTGTCTCTACAAGCTTTCAGCCTGCAAGGCATACAGAATTATTCTAAGCAATTCACCTGAAAAGAAGTTAATGAAAATTTTAAAGGTGGCTTAACTAAATAATAATTCTTATCAACTATATAGGAATTAAAAGGACATTTTTAATAATAAGAGATATGAGATAAAAATATGCCTTCAATGTCAATAAACTGTATTTACAAATTTCTGTGAGCATTTTCTTATATCTGCCTTTTCATATGTTGAATAATAAAGAAATTATTATAAATTATACAGCATTAATCAGCTCCAGCTGATCAAATACAGAAGCAGTAATTATTGATTAACATCAATGATATTCAACTACGTAAAAGTTGTCTCACATTTTATTTTCACTGGTTTCATGTATATAGGAGACAAAGATATTATTATTATATTAAGTATATCTGATTCTAGATGGCAAAATAATATTCCTTTCTGCAGAGTGAACAACACAGCTATCTAAGCATAATAGATACAACCATTACACTTTTTTATTCAAACTATATAAGATCAAACGAACTTCTCAAGTGAAGTTCGATCATTATTATATGAATCGCTTCATTTGAAGATATAATTATTCACCAGGTAGTCCCATTAACCTACAGGTGACTTACACGCTTTAAAAGACACTCAACTGACTAAAATAAGTTGGCTGTGAACCGACTTACCCCTACCACCACTGACTCGGGGACGGAGTGAGTCGCCATTCTGAGCTCATTATTTTTAGAGTGTAGAGAAAAACTTTCCGTATTAGGCTATTTAGCTAGCAAACTACTGCTATGGGAGGGTGGTTAATGGCTTATATCTTCAAATGAAGCGATTCATATAATAATGATCGAACTTCACTTGAGAATTTCGTTTGATCTTATATTATATTTCATCGCTTCATTTTTCAGATATAATTATTCACCAGGTAGAATTTTAGAGCAGGAAGTTTTTCGTTGTAATAAAATAATATATATTTTTAGAATATATTTATTAGTTACCGATCGGTACATGAAACGTAGAAAAGATGTACACCCAAATAAAATACCACTCTTTTTATCACCACCGTCGCCACACCAAACAACCAATCTACATATCGCTCCTCTAAACCCAGAAAAAGTTAGACTACATGCAACCGAGAGAACAAGCTGGTTTTCGTCCCAAGTTCTCTACAATGGATCACATCTTTGTTTTGACTCAGATAATGGAAAGATATAAAGAATATAACAAAACTCTTTACATCGCATTTATTGATTATTCAAAAGCTTTCGACTCTATTTACCATGACTCACTTTGGTTGGCGTTGAAATCTCATGGAATACATAACCAATATATAAGAATACTGAAAGAAATTTATAGTCAAACTACAGCAACAATAAGAATGGAGAGACCAGGACAGCCATTTAAAATCGAGAGGGGTGAGACAGGGGGACCCAATCTCACCTAATCTATTTACTTGTTTATTAGAGTACATTTTCTCAAAACTTGACTGGGGCAAACGAGGCATTAATATTAACGGAGAAATTTTGAGTCATCTACGTTTTGCAGACGACATTATCATATTAAGCGAAAATCACGAAGACCTTATATATATGGTTCAGTCTTTAGACATAGAAAGCAGAATATGTGGCCTACAAATCAATCCAGATAAAACTTGTATATTGACAAATAGCACAAAAATGCCTGTACACGTTCAAAACCAACAAATTAGATATGTTAATGAATATATTTATCTTGGGCAAAATATTTCATTTCACAACTTAACAATGACGGAAGTTAATAGAAGAATTAAATTAGCATGGAGCAAATATTGGTCACTAAAACATATTTTCAAGGCAAAAATACCAATTAAATTAAAAAAAGAAAGCGTTGGATACTACTGTACTCCCCACTTTATTATATGGATGTCAAAACTGGGCTCTCACAAGGAAAATAATATCTAAGCTACAAGTTTTCCAACGAGCAACGGAACGCAGCATGCTAAACGTTAAACTAAGACATCGACATAGAAACGAAAAAAAACAAATATCATAGACGCAGCCAAATTAGCGTGTCAACTGAAGTGGAGATGGGCAGGACACGTGGCACGAGTCAGTGATAGAAGATGGACTGAACGGGTGCTACATTGGCACCCGCGTGATGCGACGCGCTCGCGCGGCCGACCGCGGGCACGCTGGTGCGATGACATTGTAGAGGTGGCAGGAGCAACGTGGACGAGGCTAGCGGCAGACAGAACTTCATGGAAAAGGATGGAGGAGGCCTTCACCCGGAAATGGGTATCCCATAATTAATTAAAATTAATATAATAAATTATGACTCTATTTTATGTGTATAGCCAAATTCAGCAGATTATTACTAATTTCAATTTTATTATTTTAACTATATATTTTGTGACAAAAATCAAAATAAGTTGACAATTACTTGAAAATATAAATATAAATTGATTATTTACCTTAACATTATTTATAAATAATCAAAAATTAATTTTGTAAATTTACTTTAAACTTTTTTATTTAAAATTGACACCGGCATTATCATGTCTTTTAATTAAAAAAAAATTGCATGACTCATAACAATATTGTAATTGGTTTTAACTAATATCGACTGTTGTATGAAAATTGGGAATAAAATGGCTATTATTATTATTATTATTATTATTACATGAAACGTTATGTAATCACGATAATTTGAACAATTAGTTTTTGTATTTATGAATACAGAAAAAATCTTAAACTAGTGATTGGACGTAAAGCAAGCGGATCTTGCAAAGTTCCCCTCATCTACAAGGGTTCTATTGTAAAATCGCGCAAAAGTATTAGATCTAGGAGTCCATCCGGCAGCTTTACGGATGACATCAATGCTGAGGCCCGCGCGGCCCGCAGCTGAGGTAAAGGCGGGGCGAGTGCTGTGGGCGCCAAACGTTGACGTATCCACGCCGCTTTCAGAGAGCATTTGTTTAATCCATCGATTGATTGATTGCGTCGTGGCTGGTCTATGTGGTGGCTTGTAAGTGAGGAACAGTTTGCCTATGTTTTCCGTTCTTTTACTTTCTGTGACAGAAATATAATCTTTTAGAACGGTAGCTGGGCAAATATTCACATTTTCTAAGAAAAATGGTATCAGGAGTACAGGTTGCTCTCGGCCTGGGGTGGAAGTCTTTATTAGATCAGTAATTATGATCTTAGCGTTATTGTGAGAAAATGATATATTTTCCAACTTAATTAATGATAGCGTTTGTACTCTATGGTCTGTAGAGAGGGCTAATAAAATTGCTAATTTCTTTGTAATTTTTTCCAGATTTAAAGTCGTATTGGGCTGCCACCCTGCAACGTGATTTAAAACACTTTGAGGGTCCCAGGTCTGTGTATATTTTGGAATGTTCGGCCTTAATTTATAAGCTCCTTTTTAGCAATCGACTTACATGTTCGTCGGAACCAATATCATTTCCGAGAAGTAATGATAGCGCTGATCTATGCGAATTGAGACTTCTTTTTGAGAGAAGGATAAAAAAGGAGATATAGATGGTTGAAATGGATTAATATTTCTGTTGTCACAAAACCGCCACCATGCTTTATAGGTAACATTATACTGTTTTACCGTGCTATCGGAGAGCGATGCTCGCATGAGGTTGAGGGCCTCTGGTGGGCATCTTCGGGTGAAAGCTTGCCGGAGAGCCTCGCGGCACCCAAGGTAAGGCTCGCGTGTAAAGGGTGGTGTTCCCTGGAATGTGATCGTAAAATATTTATGGAGAATAATGTAGTCGCCACAGATTCTTGTTAGGGCACAAGAACAGAATATCACATGCTAATAACCCTTGTAGTAAGGAGAACCAGAGCTGTGAAGGCCAATAAGGAAAAACAAGGATTCCGTGAGCCCATGTCATCCATTATTTTCCTTAAACAATTTAATATTATGGAAAATGGGGGGAATGCGTAAAAATAACATCCGCTCCAGCTTATAGTAAAAGCATCTACCGCCATTGCATCTGGATCCGGTCTCCAAGAAACAAAGTTTGTGCATTTGGCATTAGTGCGGGAGGCGAATAAGTCGATATTTGGCTGACCAAAATGAGACACAATGGTTTGAAAACTGGAAGAGGAGAGTTCCCATTCGGTGTCAGGGTTTATAATTCTAGATTCAGCGTCAGCCCAGTTTTCTTTAGTATTGACGTATGACGCGTAGATCCAAATTTTTCGCTTCTCACACCATTGCCAAATTTGCCGAGCGATCCCGTTTAAGTGGGGGAATTGTACCCCGCCCATGCGTTTTACATAACTAATGGCTGTAGTGTTATCTATCCGTAATAGTATCGCGCAATTAGTTTCTTTAGATGCCAAGCTTTTGAGTCAATGAAAAATTGCCAATAGTTACAGATAATTTATATGGTAATTGCGTTCGCTAACTGACCACCCTCCGCGAGCGTGTTCTTCATCGCGCACTGCGCTCCAGCCGGTTCGTGAAGCATCTGTGTAGATTTCAATTTTACAACCGGCGTTTCGCAGTGGATGTAATGTTGTTTTGATGTTATTGGTCCACCAAGTAAGATCTTCAAGGATAATACTAAGTAAATTGATTTTACTCTCATAATTCTGATTTTCAAGTAGCGCTAGATATTTTTGACGTTCCAATAACTTGGTGTATAACCAACCGTATTGGACAGCCCGGCACGCTGCAGTTAGAACACCAATTAATTGAGCAAATTCTCGAATAGTGCATGTGGGTAGACAAATAAACTTCTGAACTAATTGCGCAATACTGTTACGTTTATTATCTGGGAGAGAAATGGTTAGATTCTTAGTGCAAAAGAGAAAACCTAAGAATTTACAACTTTGCTTGGGTTGAAGCGAGCTTTTATCAAAATTTATAACGAAACCTAGACATTGCAATAATTTCAAGGTTTCATTTACGTTAGATCTGCAATCCTCATAAGTGTTGCCGATGCAGAGAATATCATCTAGATAAATTACTGAATTAAAGCCCGCGCTTCTCAAGTGAGTTACGATTTCTTTCATAATCTTAGTAAATACCCTGGGAGCCACTGACAGCCCATTGGGCATTGACGTAAACTCGTAGGTCATGGTCTGATTGTTTCTCTTAAATTGAAATCTTAGATACTTTCTATGTTCAGCATGAATCGGAATTAGTAAGTAGGCTTCTTTCAGATCAATTTTGGCTAAGTATCCGTGTTGGGGTATTAACTTTGCCGCTGTTCGATAATCTTCCATCTTGAAATGAAACTTTGAAACATATTTATTTAACGATTTCAAATTTAATATAAAACGCTTGCCGCCGTTTGTCTTGGAGGCAAGGAATATTTTAGAGACAAACTGGTCTCTACTTGGAAGACATTCTGTTATGGCACCTAAGTCAATCAGCTTTTGAATCGCAGTTGACATTTCCTGGTGCTCAAACTCCGAAAGGGTATTGCTAGGAACGTTTGTTTGGCAGACTTCCTTGCAAAAAGGTATGTATAGACCGGTTTGTATCTAATCTAAAATTACTGAATTGGATGAAATTCTCGTCCAACAATTAAAAAAGTATTTAATTCTACCTGCATGTACCTGAGTTACTGCGGCGCTGGGGCACGAGACTTGTTCGCTGCTGAAGGCTTCGACGCTGGCTGCTGTTGCGTCGAGCTCGGGTATGAACGGCGGCTCTGCGTCGACGTTTTCTTCCCACCTCGGTTGCAGCGGTTCGTTGAGTACCGAGGTGGGCCGGACCAGTTTCCCGAACTATAAGAGCGGTTGCTAGTGGAATGAGAGCCGGAAGGTTTCGGATTAATCTTTTTGATTTGCAGACCCTGTCGTTCAATAGCTCTGGCTGCCTTGATCTTTTCTGAAAGGTTGTTACCGAACAAAGTTTCGTCTCTTACTGAATCTTGAACTACGTGGAGAAAGTTCTTATCCAGGTTTGGTGTAATTAGCTTTATGCGGCTATTCGTATTTATCGTATGCAAATCCGAAAGAATACGGCAGGCATTGCTAAGATGTTGGATAGCGTTCTTCTTGTCGTCCCCACTTAAGAGAATATTGAGCGCCCTGTTAATGGCCGTTATCACCGACCCGAGTTGCTGTTGGTGAACTACCAGGATCTTATCTCTGTTTCTTACAGAGTCTATAACTGCTGCTGATATTTCTGCGTTTAGTTTAGGCGCTTGCAGTAACCTACAGTTGGCCGGGATTAGGTACTCCTTCAGAATTTTTTCCTTTTTATCTTTTGGCAAGACTTTGACAAGTAGAGGAAGCCACAATTTGGCTAAACTCTCGTGAATTTTTTCTCCAAACTCTGGGGTATCGCTGGTGAACTCACCGAGGGCTTCTAAAAGTTCAGGGTCCAATTCTGGTTCAGATGATGGACCGTTCGGGTTTTGTTCCGTCGAAGTTGCCTCTAAAGCCAGTGGCTCTAATGGTTTCTCCGCCCTGGTCTCTGGTCTAGACTCTAGCTCCAGTGTGGGCTCAGGTTCCGGTATAAGCTCGGGCTCCAGCATGGGCTCAGGTGTTGTGGGACTCTGCCCTGAAGCCATCCCGAGGTCCTTCATGTGAACTATAAGGCTTAGTTCAGGGTGGTCGGCGTCTTCAACACCTAAAAATAATATTTTTTAGGGTTAGAAAATTGGATTACTTCAACGAACGAGGCTCACGGCCTGCTCTGATGAAGAATTTTGTTTCAACGAACGAGGCTCACGGCCTGTCCTGATGATGGTAATTTTTTCAACAAACAAGGCTCACGGCCTGTTCTGATGAAAGCTGATAACACGTGTAAAAAACAACACGTGCTAACGAAACAAATGTTACGTAATCTTGACTCGTAGTGAATCGTTATTATACAAAAATAAATATGCTTACCTTCATTATCGGAAGATTGTGATGATATGACCCGTATTCGGCGATGTCGTGCGACATCGCGTTCACGTAATTTTCTAATTTTGCGTTCGTAACGCTCGATTTTTTTCTTCCGCACTTCGTTTTGGCATTATAAATTTTAATTATAATTATAAATACTTTAGAAAAAAAAGGCAAGAATAAAGTGTAAACTTATTGGGAGACGCGTGCTGTCGTCACCGTGCACGAAAAAAGGAATAAGCTCAGAATGGCGACTCACTCCGTCCCCGAGTCAGCGGTGGTAGGGGTAAGTCGGTTCACAGCCAACTTAGTTTAGTCAGTTGAGTGTCTTTTAAAGCGTGCAAAGTCACCTGTAGGTTAAGGGGACTACTTGGTGAATAATTATATCTGAAAAATGAAGCGATGAAATATAATTATTATTAAACTTTATATTTGCTTATAGTACAAATAATTACTACATTTTTACGCATAAATATATGTACCATTTATATTGCCTATCTACTGGGCTGGTATAAATCCAGGATCCATGTCTGGCTTAACAAAAAAGCCATTTATTAAGAAACTTGCTGAATACATAAGGTACCTATTTGTACACAAATGATTCTAATTTTCTTTTAACATTATAATAACTCCTTTTTTGCATTTATTCTATTTATTATTTAATTTAGATTTTACTAATAACATAAACTTAATACTTTGTCACTTTTAACAAACTAATAAGGTTCTAAGACCTGTTTGTTATTTGTATTTGTTTTAGGTAAAATCTACAAACTTAATAATAGATTTTCACAACCTAGAATAAGTGTAAATTAATAAACTATCATATTAACTAACCTAAACTCGTCAGTTTTATTTGCGAATTTTACCACAAAAAATAAAAAGAGAAAAACATACGTACTTGTGCCAATTAATATTTGGCTAACCTTACTGATAATTGATAATATCCATATTTTCTTAAACATTAGTCTAGTAATGCTTTTTAAATAAAAACTTCATTTTGTTCTAACCATAATGATGCGACTCCAACCATGTTGTATTTCACTCGAGTGAATCGACTGAATTTGTCCAACTCGATAATCGATAGAAAATAAATTTTACCGAGTTACCGAGTTAACTCGGCGCATCGTATAGATTCAGAGGGTGCTATATAGATATTACTTCACTAAATTACTTGTATATATAATAAGTCGCTGCGGGTGACATCACAAGTTGCATCCAAATTCAACCTTGCATCTGGCATGTTGTAAACAAACCTGAACTTAGTTTGATTTATGATATTGATTTATAATTTAAATTTCATGTTGCCACATATTACTTATTTACAAAGGTAGATATTTAAAAATGGTTTAATTAAAGTAATCGCTACCCTCAACTCTACTGATAAACTTTTCTGTAAATAGTCGATTTACTCAAAAACTAGTGTACAACGAGAATGACATACATACATAAATTAACCCGAGTGGCTCGAGTCACAAAACTCTACTCGAATCATCTTTATCTTACGGCCAATGCAGTGTTTGTCTACAATTTAGTGATGAAATCGACTTACTAATTCGAGCAATTTATTGATATATTATGTTATAAATAAATTAATATTAGGTAATATGTTTATAAAGTTGTATCAATTTATGTTACATATAATATAAATTGATTATATATATATATATATATATATATATATATATATATATATATATATATATATATATATATATATATATATATATATATATATACTTTGGATAGTCAAATTATTATTAACATTAAGACTTAAGTCATAACGTTAAAGTGATATTATTTTATGAAGATTGTCGATACGCATACCAAAAATAATATATAACTACCTATTAAGTCATCCCCCAAGTAACGCCACAAAGCACGGTCCTGAGCCACCTGCATCCATCGACATTCTATCGGCTCTGCGTCGACGTTTTCTTCCCACCTCGGTTGCAGCGGTTCGTTGAGTACCGAGGTGGGCCGGACCAGTTTCCCGAACTATAAGAGCGGTTGCTAGTGGAATGAGAGCCGGAAGGTTTCGGATTAATCTTTTTGATTTGCAGACCCTGTCGTTCAATAGCTCTGGCTGCCTTGATCTTTTCTGAAAGGTTGTTACCGAACAAAGTTTAGTCTCTTACTGAATCTTGAACTACGTGGAGAAAGTTCTTATCCAGGTTTGGTGTAATTAGCTTTATGCGGCTATTCGTATTTATCGTATGCAAATCCGAAAGAATACGGCAGGCATTGCTAAGATGTTGGATAGCGTTCTTCTTGTCGTCCCCACTTAAGAGAATATTGAGCGCCCTGTTAATGGCCGTTATCACCGACCCGAGTTGCTGTTGGTGAACTACCAGGATCTTATCTCTGTTTCTTACAGAGTCTATAACTGCTGCTGATATTTCTGCGTTTAGTTTAGGTGCTTGCAGTAACCTACAGTTGGCCGGGATTAGGTACTCCTTCAGAATTTTTTCCTTTTTATCTTTTGGCAAGACTTTGACAAGTAGAGGAAGCCACAATTTGGCTAAACTCTCGTGAATTTTTTCTCCAAACTCTGGGGTATCGCTGGTGAACTCACCGAGGGCTTCTAAAAGTTCAGGGTCCAATTCTGGTTCAGATGATGGACCGTTCGGGTTTTGTTCCGTCGAAGTTGCCTCTAAAGCCAGTGGCTCTAATGGTTTCTCCGCCCTGGTCTCTGGTCTAGACTCTGGCTCCAGTGTGGGCTCAGATTCCGGTATAAGCTCGGGCTCCAGCATGGGCTCAGGTGTTGTGGGACTCTGCCCTGAAGCCATCCCGAGGTCCTTCATGTGAACTATAAGGCTTAGTTCAGGGTGGTCGGCGTCTTCAACACCTAAAAATAATATTTTTTAGGGTTAGAAAATTGGATTACTTCAACGAACGAGGCTCACGGCCTGCTCTGATGAAGAATTTTGTTTCAACGAACGAGGCTCACGGCCTGTCCTGATGATGGTAATTTTTTCAACAAACAAGGCTCACGGCCTGTTCTGATGAAAGCTGATAACACGTGTAAAAAACAACACGTGCTAACGAAACAAATGTTACGTAATCTTGACTCGTAGTGAATCGTTATTATACAAAAATAAATATGCTTACCTTCATTATCGGAAGATTGTGATGATATGACCCGTATTCGGCGATGTCGTGCGACATCGCGTTCACGTAATTTTCTAATTTTGCGTTCGTAACGCTCGATTTTTTTCTTCCGCACTTCGTTTTGGCATTATAAATTTTAATTATAATTATAAATACTTTAGAAAAAAAAAGGCAAGAATAAAGTGTAAACTTATTGGGAGACGCGTGCTGTCGTCACCGTGCACGAAAAAGGAATAAGCTCAGAATGGCGACTCACTCCGTCCCCGAGTCAGCGGTGGTAGGGGTAAGTCGGTTCACAGCCAACTTAGTTTAGTCAGTTGAGTGTCTTTTAAAGCGTGCAAAGTCACCTGTAGGTTAAGGGGACTACTTGGTGAATAATTATATCTGAAAAATGAAGCGATGAAATATAATTATTATTAAACTTTATATTTGCTTATAGTACAAATAATTACTACATTTTTACGCATAAATATATGTACCATTTATATTGCCTATCTACTGGGCTGGTATAAATCCAGGATCCATGTCTGGCTTAACAAAAAAGCCATTTATTAAGAAACTTGCTGAATACATAAGGTACCTATTTGTACACAAATGATTCTAATTTTCTTTTAACATTATAATAACTCCTTTTTGCATTTATTCTATTTATTATTTAATTTAGATTTTACTAATAACATAAACTTAATACTTTGTCACTTTTAACAAACTAATAAGGTTCTAAGACCTGTTTGTTATTTGTATTTGTTTTAGGTAAAATCTACAAACTTAATAATAGATTTTCACAACCTAGAATAAGTGTAAATTAATAAACTATCATATTAACTAACCTAAACTCGTCAGTTTTATTTGCGAATTTTACCACAAAAAATAAAAAAGAGAAAAACATACGTACTTGTGTCAATTAATATTTGGCTAACCTTACTGATAATTGATAATATCCATATTTTCTTAAACATTAGTCTAGTAATGCTTTTTAAATAAAAACTTCATTTTGTTCTAACCATAATGATGCGACTCCAACCATGTTGTATTTCACTCGAGTGAATCGACTGAATTTGTCCAACTCGATAATCGATAGAAAATAAATTTTACCGAGTTACCGAGTTAACTCGGCGCATCGTATAGATTCAGAGGGTGCTATATAGATATTACTTCACTAATTTACTTGTATATATAATAAGTCGCTGCGGGTGACATCACAAGTTGCATCCAAATTCAACCTTGCATCTGGCATGTTGTAAACAAACCTGAACTTAGTTTGATTTATGATATTGATTTATAATTTAAATTTCATGTTGCCACATATTACTTATTTACAAAGGTAGATATTTAAAAATGGTTTAATTAAAGTAATCGCTACCCTCAACTCTACTGATAAACTTTTCTGTAAATAGTCGATTTACTCAAAAACTAGTGTACAACGAGAATGACATACATACATAAATTAACCCGAGTGGCTCGAGTCACAAAACTCTACTCGAATCATCTTTATCTTACGGCCAATGCAGTGTTTGTCTACAATTTAGTGATGAAATCGACTTACTAATTCGAGCAATTTATTGATATATTATGTTATAAATAAATTAATATTAGGTAATATGTTTATAAAGTTGTATCAATTTATGTTACATATAATATAAATTGATTATATATATATATATATATATATATATATATATATATATATATATATATATATATATACTTTGGATAGTCAAATTATTATTAACATTAAGACTTAAGTCATAACGTTAAAGTGATATTATTTTATGAAGATTGTCGATACGCATACCAAAAATAATATATAACTACCTATTAAGTCATCCCCCAAGTAACGCCACAAAGCACGGTCCTGAGCCACCTGCATCCATCGACATTCTGCATGTCTTACCAGGTCGTCACTCCATCTAGTGGGGGGTCGCCCTACACTACGCCTACCGGTACAAGGCTACCACTCGAGAACCTTTCTTCCCCATCGGTTATCGGTTCTTTGAGCTATATGGCCTGCCCATTGCCACTTTTTTTTAATTAATGTGCTCCAAACAAATTACTTACGGCCCGTCCAAGTTCGCTCACCTTATCGTTATCAAGTAATCGAAGTTGGGAGCTTGCCAAAAATTATTTTTATACCAGGATATGTGCAGCTGCCCCTTTTTAATAACTAATAACTACAAAATAAAAAATGCGGATACCAACCAGCTAGCCAATCGTAGGCAACTATGGCAAGAGGAAAGGCCTGTGTTCAGTTCTCATCATTATCATCGTCATGACATGATAAATGCCGTAAGCGTCTGAAATTCTTTTTACTGTCATTACAGAAATTCATTTTAAGAGAAAAAGAAATTTGTTTTTATGGATAAAACCGTACGTCTTATTCATGAAAGTCAAAAGTTTTTTATGACATTTTACGACTACAATGCCCATTATTAACAAGACTTACTTTATAAAAATCACATGGGTAATAAATTTTGGCATTTGACTTTATGAAATGTAAAAGTTTTTGTGCAAGTCTTTATATTTTTAAGCAAGAAACCGACGGCTGTTAGAGAATAATTAAAAGTGCTTGTAGTCGTAGTTAGAATATCAGTGATATATTTTTGTTGTAAACTTCTTGATCACAGCAAATTACATTTGTACTCAGCCCTCGTATCTCACCATTCACGTAATATGTATCACGTACTAGAGGACTTACACGCGTTAGAGCCCTCGGGCTCAAATTCATATCTCTCTGTGCCATAAAAACACACTCTGCGCCTTTTTCCTCACACTACCGCATAGATTTTGTTCGTGGTGGCTGTTCTAATATGCAGTGTACTTCAAATTATCTCACTTGAGCAAAGTAAGTGACTCCTTCAGTACAGAATCTTAGAAATTTTCATCATCGTCATCATTATAGCCTTTCAAAAGTCGACTGCTGATTGCCTAATATTTTCCATACTTACCTCGCTTGACAGACGGTTTCACAACCACAGTTTTTGAAGTTAAACTTCTTTACAGACGTAGTGGAAAAATTTAGTATGGTTTTAGTTAGTATTAAACATCTCAAACGTCACGTTTTCTAGAACCGTTTCACCGCAAGTACTGCATGAGTATACTATTATTTAACCTACTTTAAAATAAAAAATAATAGACAATTACACAACACAATTACACGCACATTTTTTAATCATTTTGAGTTGTCAGGAACATGCTGCCTATCGTTTGTTTCATTTCCCTGTCGCCTCTTACGACACCCACAGGGGTCGATAAAGACCACTTTGGGAATCACTGCACTAAATCTTTTAGTGCAGTGATTCCCAAAGTGGTCTATATCGACCCCTAGGGGTCTATGACAACCTGCAAGGGGTCTACGTAAGCGAAAAAAAATTTGGGGGTCCATGAAATGAAAATGGGGGTCCACGATAGTGGATCTCAACACATACACTGATAGTACCTACTTACTACTACTTACATAATACTATCTTATAATATCAAAACATATACATTATTTATAAAATAACCTATGAAGTAAAAAAAATATTATATATGTTTATAAAATTGTGTAAGTTGTAGGATGTTGGTATTCGCTTTGTGGTCGCAATACATTTTGAACTTGTAAAAACCTGAGAGTCGCAGTCTCAGAGCTTCGCTACCTTGCACTGACTTGTTCAATTCGTCACTCTATAAATACGAATGTGGGACAAATACGTTTATTCGTTTCCTGAATCTTGAAAAGGAAAGAGCTAAGAAAATATTTAAAAAAATATAAACAGATAGTATGTCACACAAATTATAGTGAGTCAGTGTTATTTTGTTTGAGAGTGCTGGAAAAGTATGTACATTATTTTTTATTAAATTTTAGTTTTGTACTCGTAGTTATCAAAGATAGATAAATTAAGCCAATCATGACTTTAGTTATTAGTAGTTTAATATTCAATCATGCAAAATTACACGAGTATAACTGCCGAAATAAGTCGTGAGCACACTTTTTATTGGTCGATACGACGTTGACCACGCTGACGTTGAACGTGATTGGTTCATCAGTCGATTCTCGTCGTCTATTGGTTTCGAACGTATTGTTACGAGCTTGAGGTTCGTGACAATAAAAATTGCCGATAAAATTACCTAAATTAACACTTTAATTTACTTTACACAATTAAAGTTAAAACACTAATAATTTAAACACACTAATTCACTTAATTCCACTCCGAAGCTTCGCTTGTTTCGCCCAAATCAACACTGCCTCGATCGCATCTTGCAGCGCCTATATATTCGAATTAGCAAAGAAATATCCAGAATGTTCAAGTAAACACGCGGAAGGTACCGAGCGTTCGAGTTTCGACTAGGCGCTGTCAGTTGAGCGATTTGTGATGTCATTTTCTCAATGCTCCCCTCGCTCTCGTTCCTGACACTAGATGGCGCTAGTGTATCGTTGACTGGAGCGCGTAACACTGCCCCCTCCTAAGACATGCTCGTCCCGAGCATTATCGGCCCCATAATATCTCGCCAAGCGATTCACATGGACGATCTTAGGAGTCCCTCTTGCGCCTTTCTGTAACGGCTCCGCAATGTCAAGGGCTGTCCTATCCCGTTGTGCACCAACATTGTACAATTTCGGTGCTCCTCTACTACGTGTCCGAGGTCCCCGCTCGGCCGCACAACTTGTACTTGTACGACACCAATCCTCGACATCGTCACGATAATGGACCCA